AAAATAAACCAGCCCCTACGTGGAACATTTGCGACTCTTATTAAGACAAGATGTTGTTTTAATCTTTTTTTACAGATATGTAGCCTCTTGCAATAAGAAGAGCACGATACTTAAAGAGCAGCGTGCTACGACACTGTCCAATGAACATTAGCTGAGTACTCGATGGGAACCAAATTTACCGTGTGGCACCAAAGTTTTGCAGTTTTTTCCACTATCCGAAAAAAATGTTCCCACAAAAATAACGTTCCCCCCCAAACTTTTCCCCACAAAAATTTGCCCCACCGGCGAAATTATACATACAAACCCCACATGTAGAGTCTTGTTGATGCCATTTATTTAAACCGTTTCATAGATTTAACGATGAAATTGCCCATGGCTTACTACAGGTGTAGCTGTTAAATAGAGTAACTGATTACGGTGTAGCGTAATTTAAAAACGCTGAAGTTGTCGTATTTCTAGGAAACACGTCAAATTGAAAATTGAAAAAAAAAAAAAAAAAATTACATCCTAGAAGAGGGCGGTGATTGCATTGGCAACACAACATCCGGAGCGTACGTGCTTTATAATTTCTATTCATGCTTCTTATTCTATTAAAACAAATATGCACGCTCAGGTCCAGTNAAAAAAAAAAAAAAAAAAAAAAAAAAAAATCGATACCCAACTGGAAACACCAGTCTTTCCAAATCGCAAAACTAAGTTGCGGCAACATACAATAACATGGCCAAACCGAAAAATTAAATTCCCGAAAAAAAACTTTCTTGCTACATGGTATTTTTCTAATGCTATTTCTCTTTGTTAGTAAATTACTGCCTAATCAAGACTGTGTAGAGCCAACGGTTTTCATGTTCATCAACGTAAAAGTATAAAGCCCCGGCCAAACGATCGCAACACTTCAACGCAACATATCTTAAGATTGTTGTGCGCAACATGTTACGCGTGTTTGGCCACCCTGTTAGGACGTGTTACGACATGTTGGGTGTTGCTGACTCAAGTTTGAAAGTGGTCAGATTTTTCATGCAGTATTTGTGGATGTTGCATGAGGTTTTAGTCGTTTGGCCAGGTTCGTGCAACAATGTTGCGCCGGGGCATGCGCACTAGTTTGCATGTCGCAACTTGTCGCAACAGGGTGGCCTTACGCACGCAACATGTTGCGCCCAAGAATGTTGCGATATGTTGCATAGTTTGTCCGGGTTTGCGAATACTGGGCCAACAATGTTGCAATATGTTGTGTTGAAATGTTGCGATCGTTTAGCCGGGGCTTAAAACATTAAAAACATTTTAAATTTAATTTTAATTGCTTTAAGTCCCGTGACATTTTCATTATCGAATTGAGATTAGCATGTTAAAATGCAACTCTTTGTCAAAGTTAAATACATTTTGGGAAAGGCGTTTAGAGTTCGGCACTTAAATTTTTCCAAATTTTTTGGTGGCTCCGAAACTACTCAACATTTTACTTTTTTTTCTTTTTTGTTATCTGAAATGAAATAATCGTGTTTGGAAATGTGGTAGAAGACGGTTTCTCGCGTATGATATATTACATCTTACACAAAATAAGGGAAAAACTGTTCTTATCGAGCAGAGCATTAACATAACTAATACATATTATAGAACTGTTTCGCGAAAGGTTGTCCTTCAAAAACGTAAAAGCAGACACGATAGGAGAAAAAGAAATAAACAATATGAATACATGTGTTCGTTTTCGTTTTCCTTTGCGCTGAAACTCATTAAGCTTCGATCAACCAGCGCCAATATAACACTATCTTTCGGCATTGTCGCGAACGCTTTTTACTTTGCAATCTTTTGCGAGAACGCAGTAAGCAAGCACCCATGACCCGCTGCATCCATATGTAATGTCCGCGAGTCAATGTATCTATATATTTTAGAAATAAGTTAACCATCCACAAAAATAGTGTTTCCGCTAACCGGATGTGATG